TGTCTCAGCTCAGTCAAACCTTCTTGAAATGAAACGATTCAATGTGCAGGTTCAGTTGAACTAAGCGTTTTCTGTTTATTCACTTCGGTTTATATAGTTTCGATAATGCATATTTTACATTCATGACAAACATATTGCCAAACAATATGGTATGACCTAAAACCTTCAATTGTGCATCGCACAGCAATAATGCTTTATTAAATAACCTACATAATGCTTTATTAAACAACAGTAAATATGTCGATTGCGACATTCTCCCGGGCGGGCCAAAATGCGCATGCTAATACAACAAACATTTACGTTAAAAAAAAAACTGTTTCAACTAACCAAAACTTGTCCGATTCAAATCGGTCGTTGAACAAAACTCGAAAAAATTTTTCTTCTTAAAATATGTTTACAAAATTCAAATCAAAATGACAATTACTCTGCCAGGTGTGACCAAAATTGAAAATAAAAAAATAAAAATAAATCAGCATAAAATAAATCAGAACAATATTCAAATTACATAAAACAATTCAATGGAACAAAACAATTTTAAATCCGTTAATGTTCTATCTTTAAAACTGTCACATTTTCGATTCTATCGTCAGTATTGAACACCCGTCGATGATTCGGAATCGGTAACGCTCTCGCTGGCGATGCTGGTGTTATTGGATTCGGAATTGGCACTGGTGGTAATGCTGGTGTTGATTTGTCCAGCGAATCGTCTCTTCCACTGCATAATATACAGATCGTATAGCATAACCAACCAACGGCAACGATTACCGTTGTAATTCCCATGAACATCCACTTCAGAGCTCGAGATTCAGTCTGGATTTTTTCAGTACGCACGCTCGTTTCCAATACCATGTTCAATTTAGATCGATTCACGCCCTCTCTTCCCAACGACTCAATTACCTCGTCCCTTTTGTTTGCAGGGAGCTGATTCCAATTTTCGGCAATGACCTTTGCCGTGTCCGATGTGAGCACCTGTACGGCGCCCCTTATTGCTTCCTTCACAACATCTGCTGTTGTCGCTTCGCTTGCCACTGGTTGCAACATTATCGTCAAAAATAGCGCAATCAATGACAACGCAGGCAGACGACGATGAGTACGCGTTGTTGATGCTGTTAAGCTGTGTTGATTTGAGATAGGCAATGGAGCCACTTTCGTAATGGCTCGCGTTCTTTCTCCATTCGTCGTTTTCAATTTTACTACTCGTGTTATGCCGTCGCTGCCGGGATATTTCTCCAATACGCGACCCATGGTCCATTTCGTTGCCAATTCGTTGTCGCCTTTGACCATAACTAAGTCGCCAACGTCGATATCTGGATTTTTCGTGAACCACTTTTTACGAATTTGTAATTCATTCAAGTAATCGTCCTTCCATTTACGCCAAAATTGCTGTGCTGTTCGTTGCACCAACTCCCACCTTTTCAAGTATGATGATTTTGTGTCGGTCAAGTCCTCGTATGGCACGTCCCAATTCGGCGTCATATTTAAGAAGTGCGCTGGAGTCAATATTTGATCTTCGCCTGGGCTCGTCGACAGTTCACATAACGGGCGCGAGTTTACCACAGCTTCGATTTGACATAACAATGTAGATAATTCTTCAAAGGTGAACGATAGTTCCCCGTGACGCGTTTCAAATGAAATTTCATGGTTTTCACAGCAGCCTCTGCCAACCCATTCATGTGTGGGCTGCCAGGTGGCACGAAATGCCACTCGATGTTTCGATGCAACAGCTCTTCCTTCACTCTTTTATCGAACTGTTCCCGTTCTCTCTCTGCCAACTCATTCAACAGTCGATTAGCCCCGACAAAATTCGTGCCGTTGTCAGACTGTATGCTTCTCACCTGACCCCGTCTGCCAACAAATCGTCGTAATGCTGCTATGAATTTATCTGCGGATAAATCCCCAACCAACTCCAAATGGATGGCTTTCGTAGCCATGCAAACAAACACCGCCACATAACCTTTCACTATCTTACTTCCTCTTAACGTTGATGCTTTTACAAAAAACGGTCCAGCAAAATCCACTACTGAATCAAAAAAAACTTTCGACGTTTGATTCACTCGTTTTTCAGGCTGCCCATCAGCTGTTCCATTGTGCGTGGTTGAATTTTTGCACAAACCACACATTTCCGAACAACTCGTTTAACAGTACGTTTCATATCGATGATCCAATATTTTCGCCGCAAAAGTGTCTCCGTCAATTTTGGCCCACTATGCAAGCCAAACAAGTGTTGTTCACGAATTAATAAAACTGTTACTTCATCATTTCGTGGCAATATTATTTGATGTTTTCGATCGTAGACGCATTGTGCATTGTTTAACCGGCCGCCTACGCGCAATAACTGGTCACTGTCCAAAAAAACGTTCAATTTTTTCAATGCATTTTTACGATTTAACTCTTTACCGTCTCTCAATGAACAAATTTCTTCGCTGAAATGCTTTCGCTGAACGTATTTGACGATTGTTGACAATGCCATTTTACATTCGCTTACACTTACACCAATATCGTTGCTAGCCGATTCTTTTTTGCATTTTTTAATAAAACGCAACACATATGCCATAATACGTTGCATTTTGTTGATCGATGAAACATTTGGCAAAAAAGACTCATGGTTATTTGACACCGTAAGCGAAACAAGATCATATTCATTATTTTGGTCGTCGTCGTCATCCGTCGTCACTTCGTTGCTTTCTTCATCGTTTTCGATCGTCGTCACAGTAGTGGGGTTCCACCACAACATATGATTCACTAATTCACTTGGCATAATTCCTCTTGAAACACAATCAGCTGGATTGCGTACGCCGCTTATGTGTGACCACGTGACATTTTTCAAATCATTTATTTTTTTTAATCGCGTAGCTAAAAATGATTTGTAACGCATCGGATCTGCATTTATCCAATCAAGCACAATACGCGAATCCGTGAACAAATTGATCGCCTCGAAATTTCTATTCATTGCTTTGGTGACTGACTGTATTACCTTTGTCAACAAAACAGCCGCACATAATTCAAGTTTAGGAATCGTCAACTGCTTTACGGGTGCAACACGAGCCTTTGCCATTAACAGACTCATGTGTAATTTTCCATCGTTGTCTACATATCTTGCATACACACATGCTCCGTATGCCGACGTACTTGCATCACAATATCCAAATAATTGGACCGGCGAATTAACATTTATCTGCAACCATCTCGCAATTTTGATGTCCAAAATCAATGGCATTTCATTTTTTATTTTCTGCCAACCACTTACAAACTCTTCTGGTAACTCACTATCCCACGTTACCTTTTTATTCTTCGCTGAAAATTGCCATATGCTCTGCATTAAAATACGCGCTTTTATTATGACCGGAGCTATCCAGCCCACTGGGTCGTAGATCGATGCAATTTCGCTGAGGATTTGCCGCCTTGTCGTCGCTCTTGTCTGTAGTGGCAAATCGAATTTGTATGAATATTCGTCGTTGATTGGGTTCCACACAATTCCCAATGTTTTGATTCCATCGCCGGTGATTTTTTCCTAGTCAGCTTCAGGCAAATGTGCCAAAAATTCAGCTGAATTACTGGCAAATTTTCGTAGATTGAATCCAGCGCTTTTTAACGCCAGCTTGAGTTGAGAACACTTATCCAATGCTTGTTGCACAGTGTCCGCTCCATCACTGTAATCGTCGACGTAAAAATTGTTTTTCAATGCCAATGAGGCCAACGGATACTCACGTTCTACTTCGTTTGCTAACTCTTTTAATGTTCTGATCGCCAGAAATGGTGCTGGACCCAAACCAAACATAACCGTCGTTAATTTATACATTTTCACTGATTCATTCGTATTTTCTCTCCAAAGCACCATTTGCAAATGTTGTTGACTTTCATGCAATTTGATCTGTTTGTACATTTTTTCGATGTCTCCTACAAACGCGATTTTGTGTTGACGATTACGCAAAATCAAAGTTAAAATCGTTGCTTGCTCCATTTTTCCAATTGCTAATTGGCTATTTAAACTGCGACCGTTGCTCGTTTTTTGTGACGCGTTGTGCACAATTCTTAACTTTGTCGTTGTGCTGTCCTTCATAACCGCATGATGCGGTATGAAATGAGCATTTTTCGGCTCAATTTCCACCCGCTCCATGTGGCCGCTTTCGATTGCTTCGTTCATCGAATCCACGTACAGTTTTTTCATATTCGGTGCTTTGGCAAATCTCTTTTCCATACTGAACAACGTTGCTAACGCACACTTTTTTGATTCACCTAAAACGGGCTCACCATCCTTGAATGGCATTTTTACCGTGAACACGCCATTCTCATTACGCGAAGTGGTTTCTTGATAAAAATTTTCGCAAAATTGCTCTTCCGCAGACATCTCTTCTTCGTCTTCTAACACATCGTTGTCCGCGAAATATTCAGCCAATTTTTTATCTAATTCGACATTCGAAACCAGACTTGCAATGTTTACATTTACTCGCTTCGCAACTCTGCCGACTGCACCCATAATGAGCCAGCCCAACTCGGAATTTTGAGCCACCGGTGCTTCGTCGTGTGACTTAATCAAGCCAGCTTTCAAAATTTTAGTGTATTCTACAACACCCAACAACAAATCAATGGAACCGCTTTGCTCAGTGATCACATCTGCTGTACGCAAATTAGCCAAATGATCATATTCTGCCAAATTTTCATCAACTGTCACATAACCCGTCAGTTTAGGTAAAATTACAGCTTCCGTGGTCAAAAAATAATCATCGCTGAAGCGCGAATATGCTGTGATCATGACACTATTTTTTATCGTCGTCAACTCATTTCCAATACCACTTACAGAACCAGATACATTCAGTCTTGGCACACGCAATAACTGTGCAGCGCTTTCTGTTATGAACGCTGATTGAGAACCTGGGTCGATGAGTGCACGTAAACGCAATTTTTCGCCATTTCTTGAAACAACTCTTACGATTGCTGTTGCCAATAGCGCTGAACTTGATTTCGAGGCGATCATTGCGTTGACTTCAATTTCATTTTCATTTTCGATGATACCGTTATTGTCTTTATGAACACTCGCGGTTGCTACTGCAATGGGTTTTCTTTCATTTTTTTTCGATGATTCTAAATGTAGCAATGTATTATGTTTTTTTT